GAAAACTAGAACCTGCAGGAACAGGGAGGATGAACACAAATCTAATAATCTGTAATATCATGAATATCCACTATTCCACATAATAGGCACAATAAGAACTTTTGTGTTGTTGCTCATGCAACATGGGGCATAAGCCCGTGACAGATCACTTAGGCTCAGAGTTATACTGTTAGAAATGATTCTACCATCAAATATCAAATTCCAATTTTTCCAGTTCTCTTTTACTCTTTGCAAAAAAAGGCTAAAAAATCTTGATAAAACATAATTCTGGTAGCATAACATTGAAACGGGTCTAATAATGGGCTTCAAAGACTTATCTCATCAAGAATAAATTTGTGTTCTCGGTGAAAGTCCTGTGGCCATAATCAATGGGATGCATCCGGTGTATTTGACAACCAGAACAGATCATTTTTAATGCCCCTTCCTCAGTTGTTAAAATCATTTACTCTAAAAATCTTCAACTCAAAAGTTACTTGTTCATGAGTACAAGACTCTTCTTTTACCTTATTCAGACTCTCTCTCTTCTGGACATATGTATCTTTCATCTTTAGTTGTGGTCTCTAGATTCTTAACCCCTGCCCCTTCTTCAAACTGTCACTTAAGGTTGCAGACCTCTGAAGTCTAGATTTCAATTAGTATCAACTTCAGTGAATTCTCATCACCTCCCACTCATGACTCCTGGTTTCAGGGAAAATTTTAGAAAGTAAGAAGACAAAAAATAAAATAAATGTCTGAATACTACAAATGACCTAGTTATATTGCACAAATTTTCAGGTTACCTAATCTGCTTATTTTATGACATTTTTAGGGGTCTTTACTTGACACAGGAGCAAAGATAGCAGCCTGTGAGTCATATTTTGCCTGAGATCAGTGCCACTGAGGCCAACAATAAATTAGACATACAAGATTTTTACAGGGTTAAATCCTCATTTCCATATTAAGATCACTTCTCAAATTGCATTTCAAAAACTAGTATCCCTAGGAAATACTCTAGGAACTAAATTAAGTTACAAGACCAATATCAGTCTTCCCATTGAGACTTAAAGGTCAGAATTCCTCCTCTGTCCTTTGATCATTATTTCTACCGCCATCTCACTATTATAGAAGCTTTCTAACACTTCATAGTTTCAGCTCCACCTTATTCTATTCTACCTTATATTTTATCTAAAGATAAAATAGCTTTTCTAAATCATCTCCAAATATATAATTGCCTTAATTAGAAATGGCCATCCATTATCTATTGAAATTAATGAATACCTGGTCGAGAATTCAACACCAACCAAATTTCCTTTCTGTCTCCTTTTCCCATAGCTCCAATCTCTATGTGCAGATCTTCCCACACACATGTGATCTTTATCTTGCATCCTCGCTCTTCTAAATCCCCGGGGTACTTTGTTTCTGTCTATCTCGTGGCGCCTATTTAATCCACTTTTTTTGTTAGATGTGTCTTATTCCTCTTACTTGCCCCATTAGATTTTAAAGATTTTTTAGAACAAAAATTGTATCTTGCTCATCTTTGGATTCACTTTACCAAAAAGTACATGAGTACAAGTTATGTATTCAAAATGATAATAATAATGCTAAATTGAGTTCAGTATTGGGAGGTTTTTTTCCTACCTGTCCCCTGGAGAGGCATACCACACATTTCCTACAGTTAACCTTCAAGGTAGCTAGCTAAAATAATGTCATATCTGCACTGTTCACACTCAATCTGTGTATAATTTTGCTAATATCTGTTAAATCCTAAAATTTGACTCATTTATTTCACTTTCCTGAGATGTCATGCATACTCAAGAATGCTTGTCTCCTCATTAACAGTCTCTTTTATTCAGCTTATAAGCTACATGATTCCTAGATTGATTCTGGTTATACTTGTACTTGACAATATATTTGCATAAATTGAACATTAGTCTTACTAGCTAACATGCAGTTTTTCAGCATCTGGGGTATGGTTACTCCATTCCCTGAGTAAGTGGAGGTTCGCTTATCCCCACATTGTCAGCAGGTAGCATGTGTTATATATATGTATGTAGAGAAACACCATGTGACTTGTCATATAGCCATAGGCAAAAGAAATCACTCGCAAGAAAAAGGAAGAGCACAGAGTAAAACAAATGAGATGAAGATTCCACAACCTCATCATCTCTTTTCCCACTATGCTTCATGAAATACTTACTGAAAAGTACTAGAGCTCTGGAAGTCTGAAACTCATAGTGTAAAAAAGTAATAGGATGCAATTAACACCCTCCTTTTTTTAAAAATAGCTTACATTACAGGGAGAAATGTCTAAAAGGATATTTAAATTCAGTATAAAAATCTAGCAACCACAATTTTAATTGCACACCAACTGCAAAATATTTCTTTCATTGTCTAAATAAAAGAAAAGCTATAATACATGCTGTCTGCTTGTTTCAGGACTCCATTATTAACCTTTAAGAATCTTTTCTAGAACAAAAACCTCTTTCTCTAGCAAATGCATCCTCATATGGAAACTTTTTCTTCTAAAATTTTAACTTTTGCCTTGGTCTGTGTGAAAACTTTAATCCCTGACATAAAAACATCCTTACCAATATTTCAGACACAGGAATTTCAGAGCTTTTTAAACATTTTTTATTCAAAAGTAATAATCTTTAGAAGTCACAAAAATGAAAAGCTACTTATTTCTTCAACACACAAACACACATGGGGAAAAAGTAAACAATACGCGATTTGATTACTCAACAGCAAGTCATCACAAATCCAAGCAAAGATTGGGCCACTGTTGCCATGGAGATGACTTTATCTGGTTCAGCTCTTCTGGGAATTTAACCAAATCCCCAGCAGCAGAAGAAAATCATCAGCAAAAATTCAGTAACATATGGCAACTGCCAACAAATCAATGAGGGAAAAATACTTTCATTTTCTCTTCCTCTCTACTGAGAGAAATACCTTCACATCAAGCTGTTTGAAGAGACACCCAGATTGTGTTGGTCGCTCTGCGTGTAATTCTAAACTAAATAACACCAAATTCCTTCCTTCTTAGACTAACAGAGCTACTGGGACCCAGCCAGGCTTCTCAGCATATGCATTCCCAGAATGACATTTAGACACAGGCAAGGACTGCACACATCTTCCCATGACTCTCAGTTTATTGACCCTGCAGGAAAACTCTCTAACTGCAAAGTTATCTCTTGGGAAAAAATGTGAACGGAATTTTAATATCTATGATGCTCTTGAAGCTCTGCCGAGCATTTGTGGCGTGTGTGTATGGAGTGTGTGTGTGTGTGTGAACTATTTAGTTGTATTTATAGTTTAATGATTAAGAGTTTTTAACAGTAAAATAATAGATGCTGTACTTTTTAAAATTTTCTTTAGTTCCACCAACCCTATATCTTAAATGATTATCTAAGCATCAAATTAAAGGTCATGTAGATCCAAATACCTAGATTCCTCTCTTCATTGCATTTTTCTCCAGAAAATGAAAGATTGTGACTCCTATACACTATTCAATTAATATTCTACGAAAAATATTTGCTTCAGAATGAGTAAACACACTCATCGATGAAGAAAGCACTACCTTCCATGGAGCCTACTCTATTTGGAACAACTCACAACATCAAAAAGAAGTTTCTTAAGGTAAACCTAAATCCACCTCCTTTTAAATTGCACCATTAACCTTGATTTTGTACTTCCAAGGAGATTTAATTAAATGTAACATTTTGCCCACACAAAAGCACAAATCCAAAGACAGCTTAGTACTCTTTCCATTATTCGCAGTCCAAACTTCAACCTTCACAATAGTCTTCCTCTGTGGCTCTGATTCCTTGCTCCTCCCTATCCTAATCAACCATCTCTAGAAGTACATTAGTTTCCCTATGACTTCCTTTGTTGAAATTTTTCTAATGTAAAATATGTCTTTGGCCTAAATTGAGGGGTATTGAATAAAAATGTCGTACACGCCAGGCTAGTAAATCCAATGAGCAAATCATCTTCAGGCAAGCACTCAGGGAGAGAGAATAACTGGGGTGAATTAGAGCCCAAGTTACCAGACAGTATTTAAACTCACATATTTTAAAATACTACACCCACACAGATTGGTCTGCAGTTGTGATTCTTGGCCTAAATTACTCGTATGTAAAAATTAAACTAATAGGTATATCTGAAAATTTGAGAATTTAAAAAAAATTAGAGTTGTCATCTATGTCATTAGACAATGGTGGCTAGTTATTTGGGGAATTTAGCAAGTCAAGTTACTCTCAATCATACCCTCAAAAATTCAAGCCAACTTCATTATTCTCTCATTGTTCTGCATCCTATATCAGGTAACCTTATTTTATACCAGATGAATGAGGTACAATAAGAAAAGTTATGTCATGATTGAATAGTAGTAAAAAAAAATAGTCCTGACTAAAAGAAAAGAATTAATTATCAAAGAGTATTTAAAAAGACTCACATTATTGACTTCTATACCTCATTAACTCTTTATTGAAACTTAAAATGTTTTGCAAAAGAATAAACTGTGTTCTCCTTTATATTTAAAGATCCAGTGTTCCCTCCAACATGCATGCAAATGCTCTTTCTATTAACCACTCCAGCACATTCAGGAGCTGGCTGGCCAGGCACTAGACATGGTCTGTGGGCACTGCCCAGGACAGTAGTTGCTCTAAGATTGTTTGGAAACATCAAAATGATATTATGAATAAAAGATGACAAAATCTCAATGTAAACCCCACAAGCTCCAGAGCATGTGACATGGAATCAAATTGGTGGAAAGGTATCATTATTTTAGATCACATGTCTCAAGCTTTAAAGCATTCGATTAGTGACATTAGAGCAGGTAATTAGTGGCCTGGCAAATGCAGCTATCACTGGCAAATTCTACAAAGATAGCCCCAACTGACTAATTATTGAATCACCATTCGTGAGTTTAAATATTCTTTTCACAAATTCACATTGGTGTTCTATATACACACACACAAATATCCATCCTCTAAAGAAAAGTAAACAAATTCTCAGTTTACCTCCATCCATCATCCTTGATCCAGTGGGTTTGTCCGGGACAGTCAGATGGTCTTGATTGCTACTCAGTGAAGAAGTGTCATCACTAGATAAAGAGTTCAACAGCCCACTTCCAGCCATGACAAAGCTGTTTTCTGGGGCCTTGCAACCATTTGCCTCTGAGGGTGCAGGGGAATGAACCTGCACAGCAAAAGTCAGGGAGTGTCCAACATCTTCCAGAGCAGGTGAACTATTAACTGTGTCAAACCAGGACTGTCTTTCTTTAGATCCAGAGGAAGCAAAGCTGCCAGGTGTCTTCATTGTACTTTCCAGTGAGGAAAAAGAACAGGATGCTTCACTCAATTTGGGTGAGGAAGATGCCCGCTGTGCAACCTATTTTCCATTAATAAAACCAAAACAAGAATAAAATAAGTCATGATTAAACCATCCTCTACCTTCTATTTTTATAAAGACACCCCAGAGTTGTTTCAAAAAGTGACCAAGAATTAAAGAGTCAAAGGATACATGGATATTTATACATTTATTTCTGTATCACAGCCATTAAGATCTCTTTTGCCAAAAGTTATTTGTATAACTTTAAATTCACCATTCAAGGATCTGAAAAATCTCCATATCATGATTTATCTTATTCTTAAATACTCTCCAGAAACTTAAAAGGTTTTTGGGGGGAAATTCTTTAAAACATTGAAGTACACTTTGAACTAAAAACAAAATTGTAATTTATCATAGAACTCACATTAGTTGAGCAAAACCCCATGAGAAAGGTGAGTAAGAAAAGGAAATCAGGGAGCTGGTAGTGCAGCTCAATTGGTAGAGAGCTTGCCTAGCATGCTCCATGCCTTGGGTTTGATCCCCAACACCACAATAAAAGAGGGAGAGAGAAAGTAAAATCTTGTTAATAAGGGAGCTGAGATTGGTGAGCAAGAAAATACAAATATTTAAAGCCCTGAATACCATTCATGTATTTACCAGTATCAGCCCACAGGTAGATAGGTTAAGTGAGATAATGTTAACTCATTCACTCTTCAATCACTTAAAAACTTTAATAAATTTTCATTAAAGAAGACAAGAGTACATGTGCACTCTCTTTATTAATTAAAGAGAAACAAACGTGTGCACCACTGACAATGAGAAGTGGGCTGATGATGTGGAACTTCTGACAGCAGATCCTAACATACACTCCAAGAGTGAATGACTGTCCATGGTGACCTCTACCAGTTCCTGGAGGAAACATCAATGCAGCATCTCCAATAAGCACACTCTGTTAGGAAGGGTCTCACTTGTTCTGAGATTTTATCCTTGTTACATTTCCATGATGAAATATGTGCTTTCTTTTGAAAAATGATAATTACATATATGAATAAATATTTTCATATATAAATATATATGAATGTATACATATATATATCTGTCTTTCGGAGCTTTCTTTTTTTAGTATCCTATGTAACAAAACTGTGTTGGTATGCCGTTTTTTAATTTTACTGGTCAATAAGACCCAAAACTCTTGACTCTAGTGTTCTCCAGATCACTCTTTATCTCCAATGGCATAAGAGAGAAAGAATTTATGGTTCAGTTTCATTATATCATCCTTTATGTCTCTCTGCAAGATATTCCTTTTTAATATCAAGCATTTTCAACTCTAAGGAAGTGTCAGGAAGGACATTAAAGGAAACCAAAGAGAAAACTAGGATCTTCTGCAAACATCTCAGAATCATTGCACCAAATGTTTTTTCAAATCAACCTGGCCTCATGAAATCTGTAGTTCTAAACTCTGAGTTTTAATGGGAAATCCAGTATTTATTACCCATATGTGTCAAATTGGTTCCATAGTAGGCATGAATTGTCAAATAGTTAATAAATCTACTTTTAAGTAGCTTGACAATGAAATATCCACTTAAAATACAAACTGACCACACATACAAGCATGCACACACATGCACACATACGCACACATCTCAATGGTAGTATATTGCATAGATGTGTAAATATCTGGAACATATAGTAGTTTGGGAAGTGGCTACTTTAAATCACTCTTGACCATTTAACAACTAGGAGATCAAAGATCTGTAACCCATTAAATAAAATCTTATTTATCTAGAGGACAGAATGTACAACCCCTAAACTGTCCAAATAAATGCCAGGAATAGTTTACTCATTAACAGGAGCTATAAATAAACATTAACAAAAATATTCATGCTGACCCAGTTCTGACATGATCCCCTATCGTGAACTATTTTGGTAAAATTCAGCTTCCATGTGATCAGCTTCCATTTTTTAAAGGAGATCAAGCATGAGCTTTTCCTGTTGCTCCTGCTGATTCTGCTATAATTGGATTAGAGTAAAATGGGCTATTTAAGAAACAGACTGTGTACTTGGTTGTTGCAGCACTTTCCTGGAGGTTTTTTAAACCTCAAAACTCTGCTTGAGTGACTAAGACAGGCTAAATGAGTATCAGAAAAGGTTGCAAAGTATATTCCTATTGGGTGCTTTTCAGACCCAGTGCAAATAATCTCAATCCATTTTCTCTACACAGCAATATTTATGAATTTGGTTATAAAAGGAAGAAAGAAGGGTGAACGAAGCAAATAAGAAAAAGGAAAAGGAGATGAACTGGAAGGGATGGCAGGGAAAGGAGACAATGAGAAAAGATAATATGTATTAAATAAGAGGGGGCTTTCATTGGAAGAGAGATTGACAAAATGCAAATCAAAATGAAGCTAGCACTCCATTTCAGAGGATTCAATATGGGATCAGCCTTTATGGATCATTTAGTACCAAAGTATGGTTCATTATGTCTAAGATTCTGTAGCTGCCAGTGGCAAGTACCAAGCCCACTACTCTTAGTGGTCCCTCCTGAGAAACACCCACACAATACAGTAATAAAATTCCCCAGCACAAAGGGAATAAAGGTGGGGAGGAGTGACAACTTCTTCTTGTCACCCCACCTTAGCTTGACTAATAGAAGCCAGTCAGTTCATAGCCAGCTCCTCCAGGAAGATTTCTTGGATAGCTTCAAGACCAGGCAGGTACCTATGCCCAATGCTGCTGGGCTTGCTTCTATTATACTAAGTGGAACATCATTTTATTTGTCAACATATTGTAATTGTGATTGAATGTTAATCTTTTGTGATGAGATTCTTGAGAACAGCCTGTTTTTAGTCATTTTTGCACCTCCATTTTTTGCATCTGTGCCTGACACATAGTTGGTAACAAATTAATGCCAGCAAAAAAATATGATTTATAAAACCAGATATGTGAAGAAAACTGTCCAGAGTAGTTCAGTTGCACACTGAGGAGCTTCCTGAAATTCTCTATAAAATTGCTAAGGGTTATTTATCTTAACTCCAGGATCAAAGAGTTACACGTACCAAATGCAATGTATATAGTCTCACAAATGTTCCCATAATTCCAAACAAAATTATTTTATTTAATTAGAGAATGATAATAGTACATGATTTCATTAGTTTAAAAACATTCGGGTTTGAAATGTTTCTTTTCTTTTCTTTTTTTTTTGGTACGAGGTATCGAACTCGGGACCTTATGCTTGCGAGGCAGGCAGCAGCACCACTAAACTAAATCTCCGACCCAATATTTCATTTTTAATGAGAATATTACAAACACTTTGACGATCTTAGTTTTAATTAAGAGACTATGATCTGGGCACAGTGGTGGATGCCTGCAATCTCACTGGGGAGGGAAGCTGAAGCAGGAGGATTGCAAGTTCAAGACCAGCCTGGGCAGTTTAGTGAAACCCTGTCTCAAAATGAAAAATAAAATATGAGAGAGAGAGAGAGACAAACAGACAGCCAAACAGACACAGAAACAAAGAGACAGATGAGAGAGAGAGAGAGAGAGAGAGAGAGAGAGAGATGATAGCCAGATATTGGGGCTCACATGTGTAATCCCAGTACTCCTATCTCAAAATTAAAATGTTTTTAAAGGTCTGGGAATGTTGCTCAATAATTGACCACCTCTGGGTTCAATCCCAAGTGCTGAGAGAAAGAGACAAAGAGAGAAAGAGAAAGATATAGGCAGACAGAGAGACAGAGACAGAAATACAGTCAGAGAAAAGCATATGACTAAAATAAAAAATGAATTCTTCCCATTTTCTGTGTCCTTTTATTTATTGAAGAAGCTTAATTCAAAAGTTAGCTCTAAAATTATTTTCTTTGAATTATTTTCATAACACAAGTTTGACATGGTGAAAAAATGTTTAAAATAACTTCCAAAAGCCCATAATTAGGAAGAAGTGATTCAGCATATAAATCATCAGCAATTTTAGTCAAAGTACATGAAAAAAAAGAAGGAAATAATTTAAAACTAAAGATAATAAAACAAATTAGGACAAAGGAGGGAAGATACACAGGTATTATTTCCTTTTATTAGCTATTTTTATTTTTAATAAATTTTATTTTACCCCATTCCCCCCATCAAGCCCGAACCCCTCCCTATGTACAAAAGCTTTGTTTCCATTTTTTTTAGTTATATTAATAACAGCCAACCAGTCAACTGTTCTTAAGCCTTAGGAGGCATTATGTTTGTATTATTTCCATATGCTTGAAAAAGTATTATTTTGAAAACAAGAAGACTTCATATAGTATACTACTTGCTCTGTCACTGGCCTTGTGCATGACCTTGATTCATGAACTGATAGAAAATCCACTTATCCTTCCAATCCTTAGTATCCCAGTGACCTTGAAAAAATAATTTTACATCCAAGTCCTATTCCACTACTTTTCTTCCTCCAACATTGTCCCATTCCCTTCCCTAGGCAGGCTCCAAATAATAATGAGTTATTTCTAAAGCATAGAGTATTTAAAAAGACCACACCACTCCTCTGCTGAAATCCTCCAATAACTATCACAAGTACAGTGTCAAACATCTTCATTAGAACCGAGAAGGCCAACTGGACCCCTACCACTGCTCCAGCTGCATTTTCTTCATCTCTCCTTTCCTCTCTTCTTTCCACCCACACTGACCTTCTTTCTGTCCTTTAAGGACATCTCTGAGTTCTTCTGCCTTACCAGCCTTCCCTGTGGATTTCTGATTAACTGCCTCCTTCTTACTATCATTTACACCTCAACTCAAATATCACTTCTTCTTCAGGGACTCCTTTAACAGGGGTAGACAAAGCAATACCTTTTCCATCCCAACCGCTAGCCACTCCCTACTACACTGCTCTATTTCATATTTTTCTTAGCCTTTATTGGTACTTGAATTTTTTTTAAATTACCAATTAATTGTCCTTTAACTTAGAACTTAAGATCCTCAAGGGAGAAGACCCTACCCGGTCATTTCAGGGTTAGGGTTCCCTTACCCTCAACAGTATCTGGCACATGGCCGACACCTCAAATAATTTGTTAGCTTCCTGA